CGGTGAGAACCCGGCGTGCTCCGTCCCGGCTTTGTAGGGATGCGAGGTCAATGGTCTAACGACTACGGCATGCACGACTTTGAGTACCCCCCCCCCCCCCTCGTCGTCGTGGTCCCCTTTCCAAATGACATTGACACGCCCGTGCGACGATTTTGATGCGGGAATTTTCCGCGAACGGCAACAACAGCTCTCTGGCAGTTTGTCCAAGGAAAACACGGGGATTGGCTTCACGGTGGTCATCACGTCCGCCTTCTCCATGTGGTTGCTTTGGTGAGATGTGTGACCAATCGCGGCCATGGGACAGACAGCCAGTAGACGGGTATGGGGTAGCTGCCCAAAACCGGGGGACATGTGCCGAACAGGGAGAAAAGGCCCAAGAGTGAAAGTTGAGCTGCCTACAAGAGCAGGCCCGAACCCGTTGTTTCCGTGTGTTGCTCAGTTGCTTGTCACGCAAACGTATGCATACTCGAAATTTTGTGTGTACTTGCCTTCGTGGACTGACTCGCAACCACCAGCGCCAACACTACAGCCATGTCCGACACGTATGCTTCGCAAGGCTCGCCCGACGTTCCTCTCTCTCTCTGTCACCTGGTCTCCTGCTGTCTTTCGTCGTCCTTTGGTCCTTACACGTGCCGTTGCCTGCGATCCTGCTCCTGGTTGTCTACGTGAACAGGGCCATGGCATGGTTCCACCAATGGCATCCCTTGATCACACCAGAGTTCCCGTGAGGACGTTCCGCCAATCCAATCGCATTCTAGTATACGGGCGACGCGAGCAACCAGCGGGGCGCACGGGTGCGGCCATCGATCCTGGCAGCAGCAGAGACGTTGTTTCTGCCGCTACTGCATCGTTCTTTTTTTTTTTCATTTTTGGTCCGCACTACGTTGTAGACACATGACGGTAACGGTGGGTGGCGAATGGGCAATGGGAGGCGGACTACGCGAAGCACGTGCGTGAGCTCTTTTTGCCGCATGGGAGGCCTGGTTTCTTTCTGTCGATAATTGGACCAGGAGATCAGTCAGCCAATGCCGTGAAGGAGCTGAATGAAAACCTTGGTTTTCTTCGCTGCAGCAATGGCTGATGGTGGTGGTTTGACAGGAGGGACAGAAAACGCCCATCCACTTGACCGGGTTGTATCGCCAACAAAAAGTGTTTGCGCGCCGGTGGCGAAACGAAAGACTTCGGGCTTCCGACGCGTCACGTGTGTTCCGGCGTGTGTGCTTGTGGCCCGGAGGTTGTGCTGTCTTTTGCAATCACGGCGGTTTTGCTCGTTTGTTGTTTCGGTACCCCATCTACCCGGGATATATGTTGTTCTTAGGAACTTGTTTCGTGTCGGAAAGCAGTAGCAGATAGTCGCCCTGTAGCGTTGGGGAATAGGGAGAAGGGGGGGGGGGGTCGTGTATCTCTATAGCGGGACGCAACAATTCAAAGCGCGAGGAGAACTGCAGGCGCCATCCCCGGCGCGAACAGCAATCGGTGCCCTCCTTGCAAAGGGTGCAACTTTTGTGTGGGATTTGTTCCCTCGGCAGACTCAAATGCAGCTGTCGACAGCACCCGTCAGAGCGACGCGCACGTGTACATTTTTCATCGCGCATGGCCATCAACCGTCGTGGGGGCGCATCTCGGATTGTAGTGTCACGTGCATCGTTCGTGGCAACCAGCCAAGTGAACCCGGCGAAACATGGGAAGTTCATCGGCAGCCCGTGTAGAAAAAATTGGTTCCGAGGAAGCAGTTCGCTGGCGTAATAGCTCTATTCGATGTTTGTTCTGCTACGCCCTTTGACACACAGCAGGAGTCCCCCATGTGACAAGGCGAAATAGATCACCGGGAGATCTGGGTTTAGGTTTGAACACGTGGAGCCCAGCAGACCAATGCGCAGCAGAACCTTTCGACTACTGTGATGAATTCACTGACAGCCCCAACGGGTCGGGATAATGGCCAATAAAGCCTCATCCGGGTTTATTCACGTACTGCTGTAAGTGGCATGGGGCTCCTGGGAATCGGGAAGACGGAGCCAAAAGCACTCAAGCCCGACAAGCTGCTTGCTTGAAGAGCAGGCCATGTCGCAAATCTCGCCGCAGGACGGTTGACCAAAACACACGAGCCAAAGGAACAACACCGCAAAACTCTGGAACAGCCGTCACCCTCCACTACAATTCCACATCTATCTCCGTCTGCTGCTGCTGTTTCTGCTGCCCCCCATACCGGGGCGATCGGTTCCGGATTTTATGTCTTCCTGTCTCTCCAGGCCCTGAACCACCGACCGCTTCTCTCGTCGCCGCCGCAGCCGCCGCGATCGCGCTAGAAACGTCTCGGCTATCCAGCAACCCCACCGACGTGGTGGACTCTGGTGCTTTGGGCGCTGGCCTTCCCGCCGCCGAAAATGCCCCGGGCGGTGGGGAGCGGCTGCGAACAGAACCTCCGCCTCCGACTCCGGCGGGCACCCCAACCCCCACGCCTCCTCCGCTGCCGCAGTCCTCGATGACCTTGAAGCTTGCTGACCCTTCCGGAGTTCGCATCAACAACGACGGCTGTGCTTCCCCTAGGGAACCCGAAGAATCTCCCCGACTGCCAATCCTGGTGCCACCCCCCCTTCCTTCCGTCCCCGCCGCATCTGCCGCCCCCCCCGCCCCCTGCGGAGAGCGAACGGCCGCCCCTTCCCCTACAGCGATGGAGGAGGAGGCGATGGCGCTCCTGCTGAGGCCAACAATGGTCTCGGCCGCCCGATCGAGCTCTCTCCGCAAGCCCTGCACCCGCGCCTCGCTCCCGGCGAGCTCGGCTCGAGAGGCGAACAGGGCCTTCCCGAGCCGGTCCACCTCCAGCTCCAGCCCCGCTGCCCTCTTGTCCCCCAACTCTTCCGCCATCCTCGCTAGCTCCAGGCCCCTGGCGAGGCCTTCCTCCCCTCGCATGCCCGCGCTCTCCTCGGCGACGGCGACCCGCTCGGCCGCGAGCAACTCGACCGACTCGCGCTCCTGCCGGCAGAAGTCGACCAGGGCGGCGCGGGCGGTGGAGGCGGTGCCGAGGCGGGCCAACGCCTCCCGCAGCTCCTCCGTGAGGCGAGAGTTAGCGTCCGCCTGGTCGGAGAGATCGGCCTCCGCCTTGCGCAGCTGGCCGAGTCGCAGCTCTAGCTCGGCTTCCAGGCCGCTCGCGGCTTGTGACGCCCCCTGTGCGGCGCGTTCATAGGTCGGCGGGAATGTGGGGGG